TCCAATTGAAAAAAAAATACATTTAAAAATTTGAACGCGTAGAGTACGACATTTCTTTCATTCGTTTATAGTAAAAAGAATGAAAAAAAAATCAAATAATTTGTTTTTAGAATAGAAATTGCTTAATTATTTAGGTGATTTCTTGTTATAATGTGGTTATGGATATGAATATATCGAATGTAATGATGTGCAAAACTTAATTTCGAAAAAAAGTTACAGCAATTTCAACATTTTGATAGAAATAAAAGAAAGTAAGAAAAGAAAAAGAAGTGTTGATGTGATGAGTCATAGTCTATTTTGTTTCTTTCCTTTCGTTTTATTAGTCTACTGTGCATTTTATGCCTGTTATATTGGTATATAATGATGAAGAAGACGAAGTAGTAATCATACTTACCTGCCACGGATGCATTAACGGTCAGTAATGTTAATGCTCCAGGTTGAGGCGCGAGCATTGCACATCGCTCCCGTTGACGCCTGCGAAGAGCCCACATCGGACTTTCTCGAGTGGAGAATTTGTTCTGCGGTCATTTGCGTTCGCGCATTGGCCATTCAAATGAAAACAAAATGAAATACTTTTCTCATAGAAGTTTAATAAACTCTTTTATGTTAAGAAGTCTACTTCCAATTTTTTTTTAATATAATCTATAACTTTTCAAATAATCCTATGAACAGAACAGACTCAATAGAAGATTTCTTCTTCTAAAATCTACGTTGAAATTCAATTTCAATTCAGTTCTATTGAATGACCGATATATAATAAAATTTTTTTCATAAAAATACTCTCAGCACTTCACGAATGTTGATTTTGATGAGAAATATTGTAATTTATACACTGTTTACATTCATCGATTCGTCAAACTTTGATGGAGTTGAGAAAAAATTCATATCGGTCATATATCAACATCATTCTATTGCAATTCTCGATCTTATGATCGCATTTAACAGTTCAGAAACAAAACAAAATAAACTTTCATTATTCAGATAGAAATATAAAGTTGATCTTTGATTTAAAAATGAGAATTCTCACAATTCTATGTGATGAATCGTTCGAATTTCATGAGCATAATAGTAAGCAACACCAGCCTGATTATTGGTATTTATTTTAAGCACAATAAATCTTCACATGAAGTTAACTGACGATTACATAACACTCCGAAATGGCACATGTTGCCGTAAAAGTATCCCTCTGTGCTTTTGTGAACTTAGCTACAATTTATCATGATTTATTTTTGAACCGTTGACAAGTTCATGAGAAGAATTTCAGTAGAATTGTATTGTTGTAAACCAGATTATTATTTTTCAATCCTAGGGTAACCATTTCTTGCTAATACTAATACTCATGGGCAAGTATGCTGTAGTCGATGAAACAAATTTGTTTACCAATGGGTAGATAATATATGCACAACGAAATAAGGGTATGATGTGTGTACGTACGTGGGAAAGAAGAGAACCCACACCCCACATTCACGTCCTCAAGCATCTGGATCTTTCCAAGCTCGGTGGCTCTCTTACCCAGATACACACTGTAACATCATATGCGGCTTTTGTTGATTGACCTAACGCGCCTAAGCAAACAAACGTGTAGTCGTCTACTTAAGTAACATCATCCCAAACATCGATGTTTCTCTCAACACCGCCACCTCAATGCGGTACTCCTTCAATTTGTTCATTATTAGTTTTCGTTTCACAAAGTGATAGTACGATCTTACATTTCATGCATCAAACAAAGTCTGTGGACCATATCTTGAATATGATACATAGTATACTTTGCAAGTTAGTTTTTCAACTATGATGCATATAGAGTAGCATATTGCAGCGTAATTAAAAATACTTTTTCCAAGGTAGAAAACAGTCCAAATGACTAAAACCTGCATGATTTAGCAGTTGAACGATACCTGTTTTGACTTATCCACACCCAAACGAAACGAAAAATCGTAACACAGCCCTAACTTATTGACAGAGAATAATACCTTGATTGTCCACTAATTTCAACTACGCTTGATTAAATTCATCCAACTAGTAACAATGACAGAAGCCAATCTATTTCAATTGGCTGTCGATTTGATTCATCATATTCTTGACCCTTGTGACATTCAAACGTTGTTATTTGCAATTTGTCCGGCCAGTAAATCTCAATATTGTTGTGTCAATTCTTATGATCGATTTGAATGTGATTTCCACTCAAAATCACAAACAGATTCTCAAACTATTCATTATTTTGTTCATCCCGAAAGCGTCACATTATTGAAGTCACTTTTCGACACTGGTCGATTTCGTTCATTCACATTGCATTTTATCAGTGACGAAGAACTAGAGTGCTCTATCAAACAAGTGACATCACAATCACTCATTTCACTCTCAATAGATCTTTGTAATAATGATTCAACATAATATTGTGTCTGATTTCATTGATAATCAATAAACATCAATCTCCAAAATTACGACTAGATAATTTGAAGTATTAATCGGAAAACATAACTTGACCGGCTGATTACAGACTGAAGCACTTACAAATTGGCATTTGTACATTCAGTGATTTTATTGTTATATTACAAGATTTCCCTCAAGTATAAATATTTCAAATGGACGACTGTATGATTCAGTCTAATAGTGAAACTATTGCTCCAAAAAATAACTTTATAAGCAGTGTACAATGGAAGTCGTTAGCAATAGTCAAGTGTACCTTTTCTATGCTGCAATTCTAGTTGCTCATTTCGGTAACAACACCTTCTCTTCATCACTTAAAACTTATTGGTCTATGCAAAGGAAACTTGATTTCTGTTCTCGATGGATATTATTATTATACTTAGTTTACATAAACTAATATCTCCATTTCAAACATCGTTTTGGATTGAGAACAAATGCTTCTGGCTCTATACGACTCCAGGCTTTATGATGAATTTCACGAACTTAGCCAGGTTTGAAGTATCATCAACAGATGCACTGCATTGGCAAGAAACACAAAATAAAGCCACTGACTTCACTCAAATTCAGTGGGGACCCAAAGTATGACGGATACAATGGGACCGACAATATAGAAGCGCAATGTCTCGTCGAAATTCTTCAAAACAACATCGTAACGCGTCTTCTGTTGTATCTCTCTCCTCAACTCTTCATCTCTTTCATACAGACATTGACTAGACTCCACTTGGAATAGAATAAAATCGATAACAGACGAGTACAACATCTTCCCGAGGCACTCTGATACAACAAGGTACATGGTCTACTCTTCTCGTTGTATTTTCGACATCTCACTTCTTCCACAGACACTGACCTCACTTAATCTTGGAGAAAATAAAATCTGCAAGAAAGGAGCATCACATCTCGCCTATGCTCTTCGACAGAACATGGTAAATATGCTTTGTTTTTTGTTTGTGTAACTGATCGGATGTTTTCTTTGCCTGTTCCATAGACACTACAAGAGTTACGTATTGGAGATATTAATTATTGGTCGAATGTAAAAAGGAACAGTTGGAAAAAAAACAGGACGATTGAATCAAATTTTGATTGTCTTGAGATAAGGAACTGTTTGAAAATGGTTGTACTAGAAAATGATTGTCGGTGAGAGTTTTCTACTCAACTAATCCATTCCTACGTCTACACCACGGTACATTACATAATAAATTGGCTACTGAAACCTTAATACCTCTTGATGGATTCCGATGAGATATGATAGAGGCTCCGAAATATTTAGCATTTGCCTCACATATGAACATTTTCGTTAGTAACTATAATGGAGTGCGTACGTTCGCCAAACTTTAAGATTAAGTTATACTTTACTAATGATCATTTCAATAAAAGGATATTTCTTCGAATATTTTCTATCAGACTCAAGCCGCAGAAAAACGCTACATGTTATATTTAACTCTCATTAATTCGCCAAGCATTCATGAACACATGTTCAGCAGCTACCCTCAATTTAATATTATCTCAGGAATCTTACATAGAAGTTTCATAAATCATTTCAAGATACACGCCAATTTCATAAACCTTCAATGTTTATTATATGCTTCGTTGTCGTCAAGTATTGCACTGCTGTAAAGATAATAAACCTTTCAAATTTTTATGAAAACAATTGGTCAACACTGGAAGAATTTATTATCTTTATAACGGTACAAGGTGCAAGAAAATTTGATGCAAGATCTATGAGGCTGATAAACTCTATTGTAGGGTATATCATTCTACGTTTTTGTTGACAGTGTTTACAATGTCAACTGTACATGATCCAACCGTGCCTGTACGTTGCAGAGGATTGAATATGTCATAAAACGAGGTAACTTCCAGAAATTTTCATCACATAATTCTGAAGATTTATACCAAACATTATTTTCTCCAAGTGCTTTACAGAGGAAAAAACATAGTATTATTATTGTCTAAAATTCGAATCGTTCGCTATGACAAATTCAGATGCAAGTGTGTCTTGTACAACTCTATCAGTTCTCTCGAGTGTTGTTCTTTGCTTACGAAAACATCGGGACAAAATTTTCAACGCCTCCAAAAACTAGATGTTTAGGTGTCTAAATATAGTAATAACTGCAGATATTCATTCGGGAGCCTGTGTCAAGTTTCGACTTGAGTATAGCTCGTGGAACTCGACAAGCTCTTTTGAACGAATCTATCCCGACAAAGCCTCAAAAGGGTGGGTATCAGTGCAAAGAAGAAAAGACTAATGTCCACATCCACATCCAGCCCAAAACTAAAAGAAACTAATTACTGAGTAAAAAGAGACAGATTTTACATTTCTTTAGTCTACCATAATTTTCTCTAATCTTTTTCTTTGTTGAATTTTTTCATGTATTGTCTTACTCAAAATTGAGTGCTATTTGGATGGAAAATATATTAAGCATTAAACTAGTATTGACATTCAATAGCTAACTGAAGTAAACAAATACAGAAGCTTCCGGAAATAATTTATTCGAAAAAAAGAAAATAAAAGATATCGCAAAGTATTTTAGATAAATAAATATAAAGAAATATTTTCTTTTGTTCGACCATCAGTGCTATTGTGCTGGCTTGTTGTTAGCCAATAACCATTCATTATAATCATCGAAAGAACTTTGTCCCTCTTCTATGGTGCATTGTATAACACACATGAATGATTCTCCATTTTTAACAAAATAGTCCGACAATGTTCGTCGATTATCCCAACTTTCAAACTGGTCTAACCGTCCAAACCGTGCATTTGGTTGTACCTTTAATTGTTTTTTCAACTCACCAACTGTGATTGACAATGGAATATCGTTTAGATTGATTTTCTTTTCACTTCCTTTCGAAGATATTTCAACGATGATATTGATTAACGCATTGTCTGAAGATGATGTAGATGCCATTGTTTTATCGTAGTATTCCCAATAGTTCTAAAGATAAGCTCAAAAATAAACATAAAATTCATTGTAAAATGCTATCAACAGTCACTACTAGACAACCACGACCAAATTTGCTCTATTTAAGATTCTAAACTTTCAATAAATTCCCATACGCAGTTTATGAGAAAGATTATTTCAGAGATAATTGTTCTTGTAAAAGTCTTATATAGTTCTGATAAAAATAGTTTAAAAGATTTTAACGCCTAGATAGAAACTAGCTAAGAAAGCTAAAAATTTTATCGAATATCTAAAAAACATATTGTTCAAGATAGAAAGATTTGACGTGACTCGAAAATCTCTTTTTAATATTTTTTATAGTAGTAAACTGAGACTTTATTTTAATAACTGTTAGAAATACTATTCTAATCGAATGCATCTTTTGTACATCGAACAACCATAACGAATTCCTGTCTTTTCACATAAAAAGTAATAGTGCTTTCGCAACTATTTGTAACTTCCTCACGACTCAAAATCATTACCAATTTTATGGTTCGTTTCTGTTTCATTAATTCAAAAAAAATCAATCTGTTGTTATTGTTCGAACGAACGTTACATGAGTTTCAGACAAGATCGAAACGACTGCATATGCACTCTTATATTCGTGTACTCTAGCGTACACTCACATCCTCTCGATTATCTAAATGAAGTCCTTATACAATAATCTCTGTATTCTGTACGAAGGATTAAATATTAGTATGAAAGATCTTACAGAGAAACTCTGATGCATCTTCTCAACGTGAGACACGTGAATCGACAAGCTTAGGAAATAGATTGATGTCATAGAGAATTTAGTCTTAGCAAGACCTTGATTTAAATGTAGTATAACGCTTAAAGTTAGCTTCCAAAATTTAGTAATTGCTTCAATGACATTGTCTACGATCCGTAAAGTAGATGTCATTAATGATGACATGAAAATAAAATTTCGAGAAAAAAACAAGTACCGCAATTTTCGACATTTTCTAAACAACATGCTTGACTAAATAGTGAGTAGTACAAAAGAAATTATGGCTCAGTTTTGTAAACTTTTTTTTCTCTGATCAACAATCGATGACGTTGTTGTTTTTGCGAAAAACTCGTCTGATAAATTGACAATAAGTGTGGGCATTTAACTCATCAAATAACATCAGATGTAAAATATGAAGTAATTACATTCTTTATCTATCTTATCACGAACCACGTATCAAATTTCCAGTTCGCTATAATCTCACTTTAATATGTTTTTTTTATTGATAGAATGAATCAAGTTCTTGCGAGCAATATTTCTCTCAGCAAACTCGTTCGAAACTTAAAATAGAAACAACTGATGATTTCGCATACAAATATTTGCTAAAACTGGAAAAATGCATAGTTTATATTGTACATATAATTTCATTATAAGTTAATTTTTCTTCTAAGAATTATAGAATATTCTATCTCACGAGTAAAATATATATGTAGTTCACGTAAAGAATTTTATATAAATCTAAATTCAGTCTCGTCTAATGCACAATAGAAAGAGTGGAAAAAAAACTGCGAATGTATTCATTGTTGTGCTACCTATCACATATATTCGAAAACATCTATAAAAAAAAAGAATATATGATGTTAATCAAAAGTTTAGAGTTCTCGCTTTAAATATTATGTATGAAAGTCTGGATATGATAGAAAATAGAAGACATGTTTTTGTCACTTTATTGAACTGATTTCATGAAATAAAATTCTACTTACTCCAACGCTGTTTGTCTCAGATAAAAATAATAAACAAGATGAATATACCGGACACACAGTTAAAATGAAGATAAATTGCTGAAAAAGAAAAAAATCCAGCTTTTTTATATTAAGTTTCAACGATGAATAATTCTGACAAGTTATCTATGTCTATCGACATGATTTGATTTCGATCCCCTATCATGAATAGGTGATATTCTTTTTCTTCAATGACATACGTGTCGCCACACACAAGTATGTTACATGCATATGTTTCAATGCTTTTTTTTATACGTGCATCAATAACGTATAGAATGATGTCCAATTCATGGCTCAACTTGATTACAAGACTTTTGAGTCATAATCGTGCAGTTCAGCATCTGAATTCTTTAGTTTGTTCGTTTGATAAACTATTAGCTTTAGAACATGATCATTTTCTGTTCACAGTTAGACTATGATTTTATTCTTAGCGTCATGTTGTCCCTTCTTCACTATCAATTTCAAAGACGAGAAACTTAACCAATGAAGTCAAAGTCTAATGAATAATGCAATCAAACGACGAGATTGACTAGACTTAAGGCTAGTAGCATCTAGATAAGATGCTAATACTTACCAAGCATAAATCAGACGAATATTGAAATTTAGAAAATTTAACTTTTAAAATCCAGATTAACATGCAATAACTTATATTACTTTGGAAACTTTCACTAAGAAAAGAAGTTAACATCCCATGTCATCAAAATCACCGATTTAATCGCGATTTTTTTGTAATTCTTAGATGAAATCGCGATTATTCAAATAATATTTTCAATGATCGAACCTGGTCATAGCATTTGAACCTATGACTAGGTCTCGATCCATATACCATTGTCGCTTCCATACTCATACATATTTCTCCCAAACAGGGATGCCGGCTCAGGATTATCATTAAATTAATATCAACAGCAATCCCTTTGTATTACATGCATAACAGAAAAGTATTGAAATTTGTATTGATTAATGTCATGCCAAAACAAAGCCATATCGCTAACTAATTTCATTTCTTTTATGTTGCAGTTTTATCTCAAAAGCATCGTAACTACTATTGAATCAACGCAATATTGCATCAACTTAACAGTAGCTAGAACTCTATTGTATTAAAAACGTGATGTAAGAGTATTGAAATTACTCAGGAATACGGCTTCGCCTTAGCATAGCATTAATTAATGAAAATTGCAATCTTTTTCTTTCAGGATTGTAAGAAAATTGTTGCTCTTAGCATTAGTCTAATGCTCATGTTTAGTCAACATTCCATACTCGTGAATGAGAGGCATGATATCGTTCTCCCCATTCGTAGTAGATAAATCAAAAGCATTAAATAAAATAATAATAACGATTCGTTGAAATTGTAGGACAATGTAAATAAAAACGAATATATAATTATACATTGATACTTATCCGTTCATTATGATGATCAAATGACCTCAATAAAGATATGAAAAATTATTTTACTGAAATGTTAAGATAACCTACATAAAAGAAAAAGGCTATTTATTTTTATGAATCAATACTTACTGGTTAGTAAGATGATCAGATAATCTAAATAAAGAAAAAAAATCATTTTTTTTAAAATAGCACTTACCTTTCATTGAGATGGCCTATATAAAAAACTATATTTATTTTTATTGTTTAAGGGTGTGGGCGTGATGGGCGCGGGTGTGAGTATGGAAGAAGAGAATATTCATACCTACACCCCACATATCCACACTTGCATCCACACCCTTTTATAACTAAAAAGCAGGTTTCAGAAATTCGGAAACCTAGTTTAGCTGGTTTACTACGAAACTTTATCTTAGAGTGTACATGCTTTTGTCTGACTTGTATCAATCGTGAAATCCAGTGAATATCGCACATAAAAAAAAAACTGTATTTAGCAGAGGATAATTTTTATTAGGAATTATTATTCGAGATATCTCAAGCCTCAATTTTTGTCAGCATTTGAAGATTTTCTAAATAAACAATGAATAGATGATTATGGCTATAGATTTTCATCTGCTTGCCCCACAAAGCATTCAGAGAAGTTAACACGATGCATGACATTTTTTAAAATAATGTTATTGAAACAGGCGCTGTAGTTAACTCATGTTTAATTGAAAAGAAGAGTCTATAGATGAGATACGTTATCAGTATAAGCTGATTTTTTTCTGTCTGAGTACTTTCAGAAGAAACCAACGATATTTTTCTTGAATAATGATAAGACTTTTTGTCGATATCAAAGTTTTTTCCCCAGTATATGTGTATGCTCATACAGAACCAGAAAAAACATTCATATGATTAAAGTATGTTATCGTTATTCAAGAAACCAACGATTGTGTTCTTAGATAATGTCAAGAGCAGAATAAAAGTCCAGATTCTACTATGCGTGCTACTTCACATAAGTTAGAAAAGAGTAAAAGAAAAGAGAAAGCATTGCACAATGCAATATTATCTCGCTTTTTGTAAAATCCTCCTTAAGAGTTAAGGGATTTCAATAAAAGTTGCCTTGCAACATTACTTTTTAGAAAATTCGTCTTCATTTTTCTTAATAACGGATTTCTAGTCTTTCAAACAACAACTGGGGTGTGGGTGTGGAATGTGGGTGTTCTTCTTTTCTTAACCCACACTCTCACACCCATACCCTTATTTGGAGTTAGACACGAAATTCTTCTAGTGAACTTGATGAATCTAACTCATATTGACTCTTCACATTTTTCGTGGAAATTGCCAAGTGGCAACTCATGCTTATTCATTGCCTCTTTTCTCCACTTACTGCTTATCTGTAGGTGACCATATGTACGCATAGCTTTCTTTGCTTTCGTCTTCCTATTATTGTTCGTGAGTAATCTGTTTTTGACTCACGAATAAACACATTGTATTGTTAGCTTCATTTATGTCTCATTAGTCATTTTTTCCTACTTGATCAAATGCTGCTTTTCTTTAGATTTTTATTTAGTACACATGTTGGCATCATCAATCGAACCTAATAATGACGTCAAAGACAATAAACTACAAAGAGGGGATGGAATAAAAGACGAATTTCAAAACAGGGACTGGAAAGATAATCAGCTACAAAACAATGATGCGAAAACTAATGAACTACAAAATTGTGATGACATAACAAATGAGTTTCAAAGCGACGATGGAAAAGAAAGTCGACTACAAGACGACAACGAGAAATATAAAGAATTACAAGTCGGTGATGAGCTAGAAGATGACTTTCAAAGTGACAATGAGGAAAACGATCAACGACGAGATGATGATGAGACGAAAAATAAACTAACAGTCGTCACAGCTTCATCTGAACCTATTACTAAGGGTCCTGCAACTTCTCGCAATTCATGGACTGTGTATCCTATCACGTGGTACTTACTACGTCATGCTGAGCCATATCATAGTTGGAAAATTCAAGCTGTATTTGGTAAAGATATCAAATTTGATTTTAACAGCAGCAACACTTTGAATGTCCATAGGGTTAGTTGATTCATGGTGTCTTATGAGGAAATGTTTAAAACTGCCATATCGTTTTTGAGCTTCCCCAAAAACATATTTTATTCCTGAAATAACAAAGTCCTAAAAATCACTCATATTCTACGACAGGTAATACGAATTTGTTTTCAAAATCTTCATATCTTGCAAAGAAAACACCATTTTGAGCTGAAATTTTCAGGACGTTTTATTGACATATAGACCTGTCTGTAGGCTAAGTCCCAGATCGAATATACAGTTATTCGATTCGATGCTTTATACCGACAAGTGATGCAAATCATACTAAAATGTTCATCAATGCCCACAGAAATTTTAAGGGAACTTAGTTTTTGTTAAAGTTTTTTCATATCTTAGTAGAGTCTCCCTTGTTTACAAAGTTCGAATTCAAAATTGAGTTGTCAATTAAAAACGTTTCTTCATTAGATTCAAGTTAAATTCTTCAATACATTAAATATTAATTAGAAAATTTTGTGAAACAACAATGAAATATCGTTTGTATTTTAGTTGAATGTAAACAAATATGGCATGAGTCCAATTGTCTATCAACTTTCATTAAATATTTTTCGCAATAATAAAGGAGAAACTTGTATTTACTACGATAAGAAATATTGTAAAATTTATTCGTTTCAACTTCGTATATCAGAACCAGGACGCACCTGGACACACCATTACGAAGAAGATTCAGTTCGTACACTCATAGTTGATCCATTGATGCTACATCAATTTTTATTTGATACTCATTTTAAACGTTATTATCTTCAGAATCCTCCTGGTAAGAAAATATTGCGTTGTTACCTATTTCTGTAAAAACAATTCTTTTAGGTAGTAACATACCATTTTGGGATCAGCTGTGTATGTTTACTTATTTTCTTCTGAGCATGCGATCTTACGATAATGTTGAGTCACTGTTCGATCAATTTACAACTACCCTTGAAGACCGTCAAAACATGATTTTATTTGATGATTTGCGGGTATTTTTCATTTTATGCCTCAGATATTTATCAAATATTGAGCATGTTCTCAAGCAAGATCTAGATGCACTCGAACTTATTATACGTATGATTGGCTTTTTACCTATTAATCAAGAAAATATAATTATTGGCTCAGTAGCTTCATTATTTGCATCAATTATTCTAAGAAATTTATCCGACAAGCTCGATGTTATCTTACCAACAATCTATGAAAATATTTGGGCATCTTTCTGTCAAGGTTTAGTAAAGTTAATTAGTATTAAAATATTTAATCGAGAAAACGAAAATGAGACAAATAATACTATTGACTTACTTTCAAGAATGCCCGAAGGAAAACAACGAGAAGATGTAGCATTGAAATTACTTAATTTATTCTGTTATTTACGATGCAAATTGCCAAGAAACGAAATAATGATGTTGTATACATTAGTTAAATCTAATGATTTCTCATTGAAATATCTCGAACTAGCTGTTTCAGTTGAAACTTACATTGATTATCTTAGTTATTTTCTCAAAATTCATGAAGATAATGCAAATGATTTTAAAGATAATATAAAAGATCAACTTGATGTACTTCTTGAAAGTAATCATCTTCCAAGTAAGTAATTACAAGAAAGAGAAAGAAAAAAATTTATATATATTTTTTTTTTGCTAATTCTTCTTTAGTTAATTTAGCCGATATCACATGTATTCTCACTTATTTGAAACAACAAACAGACGACAAGTCAATTCAACTAATTCAATCTATTTTCCAAACAAATGATACATTACGAAATAAGATTGAACCATATTTATATGGAAGAAATTATAATATTTCCTTGTGTGAATTTTCTCTTATTCGTGATATTTTGTTTCGTTCATATCATTCATATTTATTACATAATATCGATCGTCAAAAATATCTTTTCCGTACACTTTTTCGTCGAAATGATCGAGCAACCGATTATTTTCTCTGTTGGTTTGAATATTTTCTATGTGAAACAGATGATAATTGGATTGATTATCAAGTATTAACTCGTCAATGGACAGAATGTTTTATTAGTGATCAAAAAATCTTTCCCGAAATCATGGAAAAAGTCGATTCACTCATCGATCTTTGGATAAAAGTTGCACCAAATAAAGATCAACGTTCAAACTTTTTTGTAACACATATGGTCATACAATGTTTCCGACAAGGTAAAAAAAAACCAAAGCTATCAAT